GACATCACTAATAAACTCTCGGCATGAAGTGAGTGCATATGAACTAATATGTACAGTCCCCTCCCAACGTACAAGCTTTCAGTAGAGTGCAGTCATGTCCTTGATGCGGCCAACAGCTCGGTATAATCGACTCCAACCGCAAGCTTGGCTCTAGGTGTTTGACTAATCACACGCCCACACGCAAATAAAATGTAGTAGAACCTGGGAAAGATCAAGAAACAAGAGGTGCATATCACATGTGTGTGTGTGTGTGTGTGTGTGTGTGTGTGTGTGTGTGTGTGTGTGCCCATCACTGCCCTTGGGCAAAAGTGAGACCATGCACGGAGCATTGCCATGAGAGTCATGTGACGTTCATACCCGGAATGAGTCGTTGCCGCCGCTGTAAATTGCTTGTCCGTCATCCGAAAACGCCAAACACCTGAGACCAAACCCCGCAAACACAGCGTGTCATCGAAAGGTGTGTGTGTGTGTATGGGCGTGTGTGAGTGAGTGTGTGCGTGTGTGTGTATGGGCGTGTGTGTGTATGGGCGTGTGCGTGTGTGTGTGTGTGTGTATGGGCGTGTGCGTGTGTGTGTGTGTGTGTGTGTGTGTGTATGGGCGTGTGCGTGTGTGTGTGTGTGTGTGTGTGTGTGTGTGTGTGTGTGTGTGTGTGTGTGTGTGTGTGTGTGTGTGTGTGTGTGTGTGTGTGTGTGTGTGCGTACTTGATCGGTGATGCCTCGGGGTGCGATGTTGATACACATTTGAACGATTCCAAATCCCAAAACTTGACCGTCCTGCACGATTAAGCAAGAAGACGTCAGCAACAGCAAGTGCAAGGCAAGGGATGGAGACGGGATGCGCTCACACTCAACAACCACACCCGCGAAAACGTTCATGTCCACACACACACACACACACACACACACACACAAATACACACACACACACACACACAAATACACACACGCACACACACACACACAAGGCGCACAAATACACACACACGGCGCACAAGAGCCGCACCTGTCTGCACTGCCGGACGCGAGCAAAAACTCGTTCGGGTGGAACTCGAGCGAGGTGATGCCGGCGCGGTGCTCACGAAACTCTGTGATGAGCTTTCCCGCCGTCAGGTCCCACAGCTTGATAGCACCGTCCTCAGACCCGCTCACAACCCAGTGGCCATCGGGACTGAAGCGCAGGCAGTTGATGGCGTCCGTGTGCCCTTTGTACGTTTGGATGCATCCCTTGCGCTTGATGTCCCAGATCTGCGCAGCCGGCATGCGCAGGGACGTGTGAATTGGGGGGGTCGGACAACAAGCACTTTTGTTTGTTTGTGTGTGTGTGTGTGTGTATGTGTGTGTGTCTGTGTGTCTGTGTGTGTGTGTGTGTCTGTCTGTCTGTCTGTGTGTGTCGTGTGCGTGTGTCGTGTGTGTGTGTGTGTGTGTGTGTGTGTGTGTGTCTGTGTGTCTGTGTGTCTGTGTGTGTTTGTCTGTTTGTCTGTCTTTCTGTGTGCGTGGGTATTGACGCCTTTTGTTTCACGTGCATCTGACAGCACCACCCCAACAGAGCACGTGTGCACATTCCCAGATCCAACGCACCTTGAGATTGGTGTCGAGGGATCCCGAGGCAATAAACTCGCCGAAAGGGTGAAACTCGAGACAGCGGATATTGGACTTGTGCCCGGTCAGCGTGTGTGATTCTGTTGAAATGAAAAAAAAAAAAAAAAGTACAGGCCATTCGAGCGAGTACAAGTCAGGCAGGTAGTTCACGAGCACACACAGAGCAGGTTAAAACAACTTCACTCACATCAAACAACTGGGGCGAGTGAGGTAACGCGCACAGACACACACACGCGCGAACTATCGCAGAACACCATCACATACTGTCACACTGTCACACACTGTCACACACTTACAAGCACACACAGCCATACACACACAGCCATACACACACGCACTCTTTGGTTGATCGATGTTCCAAATTTTCAAAGTGCCAGAAGACGAGCCGGCGGCCACCGTTTGGTCATGGCTGTCAAACTGCACAGCTTCCACGGCCGTCGTATGTCCAACAAGTGACTGCACGCGATGAAATGCAAACACCGCACCACCCGTGAGTTGATTCCACAAGCGATGCAAGCAGTCATGGGCAGTTTGCTTTGCTGATGACATGCTGTTTGCTGGGCACGGAATGTCCACTGTGTCTCGTTCAACGTTGCTGGTTTGGCATGCTTGTGTGTGTGTGTTTGCGTGTGTTTGGGTGCGTTTGTGTGTGTGTGCATGTGTGTGTTGAAGTCTTTGAGAGCAAGGAAGGTGGCAGCTGAGTATGTGGAGAGGAGTAGGGCGAATCAGGCAACGAACCACGCGCGCGGCGGGGTTACCGATAGTCCAAATGTTCACTTTGCGGTCATCACCGCCTGTGGCGATGAACCGATGTGACGAGCGGCCAATGCTCACGCAGTTGACCTGCCCAGCATGGGCCACAAACGTCTCTGTCGAGGGGTAAGCACAAGTAAACAGTGCGTGCACGAACGTGTGAGGCGGAAGAATGCTGTCGCAGCTGGAGCATGCAGCGCGCTCCAGCTGCTGCAGCAGCAGCGGATACTTGTAGGCGCAGATACTTGCACAAACAACTGCAACAGTAGCAGTAGCAGTTGCGCATTCCCCCAACAAGAGAGAAAAAAAGCAAGCATGTGCTAGGTGCATTACGTACGAAGCTTCACAACTGCGTCCGCCATCTCGTGGTGTGGCTCAGCCGGCGAGGGGAAGGAGACAGATCGAGGATGGAAGGGGGAGGAGGATGGGTGGAAGGAAGAGGAGGAAGAGAGGAAGGCAAGCAAGACAGACAGGCAGGGAGACGGTTTTTGTTGTTGTTGTGCTTTGGCTGGTGGCTGAAACAAAAATTGGCAAGTTTGGAAGAGTTGTGGAAAACATGCGCAGAAAATCTCACGAGCACAGTGGGCAAAAGACGGTTTGCCAACAGTCATGTGGCAAATACATGACTGGGAAACGACAGTTGTTGAAAGATTTGGCCATGTTTTCCATGTGTGCCTGCAAGCAAGCAAGCAGCGACGTGAGCAACCACTTTCCTTCAAGGGTGGAGCGAAAGAGCGAAGATGTGAGCCAGTAGCTCACAGCTCAACGAATTTTGTGGCAGTGTACGCGACCATGTCTGTCGCAGCAAGCAAGAAGAAAGCAGCAGAAGAAAGTGAGCCGTCTTTTCTCTTGTTCGACGAACTGGCTGGCTTGCCAGAGTTCCCAAGCAAGCAAGAAAGCAGGTAAAGCACTGCGCTCCTTGCTTGCTGTTCTCTTTTCTGTTTTCCTTTTCCTTTTTGCTTCCTCGCCATTTTTCCCAGCACCGCTGAAGATCACCACCTCCAGCGACGCAGCCAGCCCGCCTCACCACCGCTCGCTCCCCGACAGAGGGTGCGCGGGCAACTCCACCCTACATTCAACCCACAAGCACCAAACACCAAGCACTCGAAAGCAAGTGCCGCGGCCGCAGCAGTCGACGAGCAGCCTGCCAGCAGAACCGCATCGTCTTGCAGTAGTGATCACGGACGCGCTTCCCTCATTTCCGCCACCGAAGAACGGAGCAGAACCGTCGACAACCCGGTACCAGACAAGCACAGCACCAACGACAGGATGGCTCAGCGCTGGGATCAGTTGCAGGCCGCTATCCGGGAGGCGAACCCGCAACCGCTGACAAGCCAAGAGGTGCCGCCCGCTTCAGCGTTTGTGACTTTGCTGAAACGCTTCACACCGCTCATCGCCCTTGAGGACCTCCTCGGCCAAATCCCGGAGCATCTCAAAGACCAGGTGCTTCAGGAGCTGGTCCCCGATGACGTCGTCATCACGGTGTTTGGTGAGCGCCCGCCTTCTTCCCTCGAGAACCCGCGAGAGGAGTGTCTGCGCATACTAACCCGTGCTGAACTCATCGTACGCTCAGTGATGTCCAAGCAGTCTGTGAGTACTGCAGCTGCAAAAGCAGTGCTCAACTCGAGCCCACAGCGCCCGACGCCCCCGTCACTGTTTGACCACTTCAACGCCGAGGTGTTCAAACGCATGGACGTCAGCAGGCTGTTCTGTGAGGCTCGCGGCTGCCAAGAGACGGCAGCGACCGACGAGCTGCAGAACAAGGTCTTCGCGTACCGGTCCATTATCGACGAGCGCACGCCGCCTCTGCAAGCTCAGCGCGCTGCTTGGTACCTGCTGGAAACCGCGCAAGACCGGGAGGAATTGAAGCAGCGACTCGGCTGCCTGAGCAAGGCCATGTTCCAGACCCTCTTCCCTGGCAATTCTGCAGCAGAAGCGGCGCTGAAGGACCTGCAGAAGAAACGCGTGAACACGTTTGACAGCAAAGTGTGTCAGCTGCGCAACCCGTCAAAGCGCAAGCCGCAACCACGCTCGCGGCCATGTGCGCATGACCTGATGCAGCAACAATTGGTGCGATACCAGCAGCAGCTGTTTCAGCAAGCCCTGCTAGCACTGCTCGAACATCCACACTGGCTGCTGGCCGTGCTCTCCCTGCTGCTGCAACACAACCCCCTGCAGTCGCAGGACCAGCCCGAGTGTGGCACAGCTTCCGCCAGCACTGCCGCCCAACAATCGACCGACACGTCGTCCAGTGCATGCATGCGTGACGAGCCCTTTACGCCAGGGGTGGCCGGCAAGTTGATGCTCCAGCAAGAATCGTGGACACCGCCACCACCACCGTCACCACCGCCACCACCGCCACCACAACCACAACAGCAGCCGTCATCCCTATGCCATGGTGGCTCGACACCAGCAACTGCCACCCTTGCTCCAGATGGGGGCGCGTTTACGTTCACCGACAGCGGGGAGCAACCCATGTCACGCACGCCTCGTCATGAAGGTGCTTTGGAGCGTGTGCGCACCCGACCTGTCACACTGACTGGCGAAGACAGTCGTGACCTCTCGCTGGAATCACGTGTGGAATTCATGGCAGGAGGTGCCCAGGACGCCTCTGCTTCGATGCTGGGTACCACTTACGCATTCGATGCCAGCAGACATCCGGCAGGGTTACCCGCAACAGCAGACTCTACGCTCGTTGGTGGTTTTGACACACTGGCACAGGCACAGGCACAGGATGGCGGTGCAGTTGACCAAGCATGGTGGCCTGAAGCCATAAGTCCTTGGACCCTTGAGCCTGAGGATGAGCTGCTGCCGTCCGAGTTGCTCGACTTGCAGCCAGATCAGCACCCCATCAATGTCGACAGCACCAGCAGCACGAGCGACCCCAGCCCCACAGCAGACCAGCTCCCCCCTCTCGCAAACAAGCGAGCGAAGCGCATGCTTTTCGAAGATGACGACCCCAGCCAATGATTGTCGTCACTTCATCCTCATGCATCCAAACACCGTGTCCGCACCAGGAACGTGATACTGTTCAATTACCATTTCTTTCTTTTCTGGACTCCTGTGTTCAGCACACACACACGCACACGCACACACACACGCACACGCACACGCACACACACACACACGCGCGCACACACACACACACACACACACACACTCTCTCTCTCTC